CCTGCAGTGACCTCCACCCTCTGCACGCGCCTGCAGTGACCACCACCCTCCGCACACACCTGCAGTGACCACCACTCTCCGCATGCGCCTGCAGTGACCTCCATCCTCCGCATGTGTCTGCAGACATGTGCACACCCAGGAACACAAACACAAAGGGGAAAGAAAAGAAAAAAGAATGCTTCCAACTTACTAGAACTGACCACAGCCTCAAAATTAAATGTTTCAGCAGACTCAGAAAGAGCGATTCTGAGTCATGTTTTCATATCTAATTTGTGTTTCTAGGGGGAGTTGTTTGGTAAAATTTATTCTTTCTCTGATTTTAGGTGGGTTTTTTTTGGTTTGTTTTGTTGTTGTTGTTTGTTGTTATTGTTTTTTGAGACAGGGTTTCTCTGTGTAGCTTTGGAGCCTATCCTGGAACTGGCTCTGTAGACCAGGCTGGCCTTGAACTCACAGAGATCCGCCTGCCTCTGCCTCCTGAATGCTGGCATTAAAGGCATGAGCACCACCTTCCAGCTCTTTCTCTGGTTTTAATTCTTGGAGAAATTCAAGTCTTCCACTCAGCCTCCAGGCAGTGTTAGAGAAGCACACAGCACACAGCACCCCTGGCTGAAGAAGCACACAGCACACAACAACCTAGACCCTCCGCAACAGCAGCTCCTTCTTGGAGGGAAAGAAAATGCATGATCAATAGCTAAGAGCAGGGCTGGCCCTTAGAGGAAACCTTCAGAGAAAATCTAAAGGACCCGATGCCCTAACTTATTCCCCAGGGTTCATGTGTGGGAGAATGAATAACCCTTCCCTGCATCCTTGGGAGACAGAATGCACCTAGGAAACATAAATCCTGGGCTGACCAGTAGGAAAAGTGGTGGTTAACAAAATTGTTTGCTCTAGGATTTAGAGTCCTTTATTATGTTTTCAATATAAGGGGGCCTCGGGGCTAGAGAGGTGGCCCAGAAGGTAAAGTGTTTGCTTCCAAATCATGAGGACTTAAATCTGGATTCCCAGCACTTGGATAAAAGTCAGACGTAGCATCAAGCAGAGGCGGAGACCAGTAGATTCCTGGAGGCTGCTGGCCAGCCAGCCTACCTGAACTGACGGATAGCAACTGAGGAATGACAGGCAAGGTTTTCTCTACACATACCCACACACATATACACCTGCACGTACAAACACACACACACACACACAATCATTTTAAGAACAAATTTTAGCATCTGCAAGGTAAGTTTTATTGAAACACAACTATGTACGTGTATGTGTGCGTGTGTGCACGTGCGCGCGCATTTATGTGGACATCAGGCATCTTCCTCAGTCACTCAACCTTACTTTCTGATAGAGCCTCTCACTGAACCTAGAGCTTACCCATATACCCAGACTAGCTGGCCAGCAAGCCCCAGGGATCCTCCTGCCTCTGCCTCCCAAGCACTGGGTCACAGGCATGGACCACCACACCTGGCTTTTTAAAAAATATTTATTTATTTATTATGTGTACAATATTCTGTCTGTGTGTATGCCTGCAGGCCAGAAGAGGGCAGCAGATTGCTCATTACAGATGGTTGTGAGCCACCATGTGGTTGCCGGGAATTGAACTCAGGACCTTTGGAAGAGCGGGCAGTGCTCTTAACCACTGAGCCATCTCTCCAGCCCCACACCTGGCTCTTATAATGAAGGTTCTGGGGATTAAACTTGGATCCTCACAATTGCACAGCGAGCACTTTGCCGAATGAACTCCCTCCCCAGCCCCAACCGAAGCGACTTCTGCACTCATTAGCCATGCTGTCTAGCTGGGGGGAAAAAAAACTACGTGGTCAACAAATCCTCCAGTATTTACCATCTGGCCTCTGAGGGGAAAGTTTGCCAAGCTCTGCGAGAAGCTAGAAGTCTGCATCCATGCAGCCAAAGGAAGGGTTTACACAACTGACTCCTTAATTGGTCTGATTAAACAGTCATGCTGGGGCCCTAATGATATTCTCTACCCGGTTAAATCCCCACAATGAGAACCCACTCATCTCACAGAGCTCAGCAGAACAGCTTCCTGATGGTGCACCTGGCCGGGAGAATTACCCAGGCTCCTCATCACACTCTCGGGACTTCCACAAAGGCAGAGCCGAGCATCACCTAGGAGTCGTCTGGCACCCTTTAATAGCTAGGGTCCTCTAAAGAAACAGAGCTGACAGAAAAAGATACGTTTCTTAAGGGAGGATTCATTGACTTGGCTAAAGGACGTGGTCCTTTTAGTCCGACAATGGCTGTCTCATGGTGGGCATTCTAAGAATACAGTAGTTATTCAGTCCAAGAGGCTGAATGCCTCAGCAGTCCCAACAGGGCACTGAAGGCCTGGGGGTGTTCCTGGAGAGCTGCTGGTCTTCAGTCTGTCAGAATCCCAAAGAAGCTGGGGTGAACTTGCTGGTGAGTGTGCAAGCAAGCAGGTGTGATGTGGGATTCCCCCTCTGTGTGCTGTGAATACCATTGGTTAATAAAGGAACTGTCTTAGGCCTGCGCAGGGAATAGAGGTAGGTGGGGTAAACTAAGCTGAACGCTGGGAGAAAGGAGGTGGAATCAGAGAAGCCGTGTATCCCTGCCGGAGAGAGTCGCCAGAACCTCGTGGCGATACACAGATTACTAAAAATGGGTTAATGTGTAAGAGTCAGCCAATAAGAAGCTAGAGCTAATGGGTCAAGCAATGATTTAAATAATATAGATTCTGTGTGATTATTTCAGGGCTGAGCAGCCGGGAACCAAACAAGCGGTCCTCCTCCTACATGGGTAGAAAGCAGTTGCTGTCTGCCGTGTCCATCTGGACTGCCACCAGAGGGTGTCACTCACATTGAGAGTCAATCTTCCTGCTTAAAATAATCTGACCAAGAAAACCCCTCACAGTTGTGCCAAGTGGCTTGAGATTAGCCACCACACATCCCCACCACGGTTTCCATTCCATTTTTGACGTCTTGGCAGAGGGTGTGTTGTCGTCTCTTGTCATGCTCTGTGGTCAGACTCCTCAAAATTAACCCCGTTCATGCTAGTATAAAAACAAACAGATCAGAGATCCTGAAATACAGCCTTTCTCTTCTTGCTTGTTTGAAACAGATTGGAGGTTGCCAACCCCTCTGGGGGCTATGAATCCACCTCTCATCTCCTCAGGTCTGACTGACAGCAAGGCTGCAGGACGGAGCTGTGAATTATCCCCTCCAACAACAAAGAGCTTCCGGATCTACAATGTGAGTCCTCTTTCTTCTCCTAACCTGTTGCAGACGGAGAAGATGTATCCCCACAGAAGGGTGAGCTGAGAAAATGAGGAGCAGTGGCTGGGTGGGGTAGGGGGACAAGCAGGACAGGAGAAAGTGGTTTTGACTCACCAGGATTCTCACCTTGACCCTGTCACCGGCCTGCCACTCTATCAGATTAGAAAGAAATGAAACCCAAGTATGAGAATGGTACTGCAACACTTCACCTGGGGATCTTTCAAAAGAAGAAACACGTGGGCATTTAGTTCCTCTTTAAGTCACTAATAAGTTCATACCCATTGCCTGATAAGATAATGTTTTGAATGTGTTGGATTAAATACAAATATCATTATTACTCTAAAATATTTATTTTGATATTCCCATGTGTATGTATGTGTATGTCTGTGTGAGTGTATGCCTGTATGTAGGTTCCCACAGAGGTCAGAAGAGGGTGCTAGATCCCAAGGAGCAGGAGTTACAGGCAGTTGTGAACATCCCAACATGGATTCTGGGGCCTAAATCTCAGATCTCTGCAAGAGTAGTAGATGCTTTTAACCATTGAGCTATCTATCTACATCTCCAGCCCCTACTATTACTTTGTAATGTGACCAATAAAACATGTCAAATTACAAGGAGGATAAGGAGGAGGAAGAGGAGGAGGAGGAAGAGGAGAAGGAGGAGAAGAAGGAGAAGGAGAAGGAGAAGGAGAAGGAGAAGGAGAAGGAGAAGGAGAAGAAGAAGAAGAAGAAGAAGAAGAAGAAGAAGAAGAAGAAGAAGAAGAAGAAGAAGAAGAAGAAGAAGAAGAAGAAGCTCATAGTCACAGTTCTCTGAGGTTGAGGTTCCTGGTGCATTTTCTACTCCAGGACACCTCTGTTTTGCCTCATTGCCCTGAGTTTCTGCGGGGTGTATGTGTCCACGGCAGAAGGTGTTACGGGTCTGATCTTTGCCTCTTGATGCCCTGAAGGCCCTTTTGTCTTTCCTACCACTAACAGGTTAACTGATTTCCCCAAAGGTTCATTTCACTTTGCAAGAAATCTGTTTCCCCAAAACTTTAGACTTATTCTGAATCTTTAATCCCTAATACATATCTATCCAGAAAATCCAAATCCAATTGCTCACTTGGGTGACAAATGTCTGTAGGGAACTTCTTACACAGTATGTGATCCGTGTAGGTGGCTAAAACACAGGTCCTGTTCACAAGACCCTTAGGGTCTAATTGGAATAGGTTCAGATAGAGAGACATTAGCAGTAAGTCACATAGGGACAGAGACCCTTTGAGAGGATGCCGTGAGAATCCTGAGGGAGACTAACTCTGAGAAGACATTAGAACGGTCTCCAGCAGAGGTGATAAGTTAGTGGAAGCCAAAATCAGAGTCTTAGAAGATGAACGGAAGTGAAGGGGAGAGAAGGCAAGAGAGCAATGGAAGCTGGGGAGGGTAGGATGCAAGCAGAAGAGAGGCAAACTTAGGTCCTGTACTGGTAGAATGATGGAGAACGATGGTGGTGAAGAGGAAGATGATGGTGACGGTGACGGTGGCAATGAGTCATCTAAAGAAAGTCTGCACGGTGGATTGGGGTGGCCAGCAGAGCTGGCAGGGCTGAGAGGTGGAAAGCTCACAAGCTCACTCATCTTTCACTGCAGAGAGAGCTCCACATAAGGTCAGCTCTGGTCAGAGAGGATGAGGTTGTCTTTTTCCATCTGAGGTCCATTGTCAACAAGCTGTGGCTCTTCAGGGTGAACCCTGAAAACAGCCTTTTGTTGAAAGAGCCGCTGCACTCAAGCTACGTAGAGACACTTAACTCTACTGCCAGAGAAGGTGGCAAAGCCGAGAAAAGCCCGCCTTTCACCTCGCTGAGTCTCAACCTTCCATCTGGGAAGGCAGAGGCTTGATTCTTGAGGTCATGCTGGCCTCTAATGTCAGCCAGCTCCTCCATCCTGCTTCAGGACAGCTATCTCTCTCCCTGTCTGGTATCTTTCTGGTCAGTCCTGGAAGATGCTGAAAGAAACAAAACATGGTCCTATTTCCTGCTATGTGGGAGACAGGATGTGGTTTAATTCCTTCACTGGGACCAAGTTCCTGTGGTAAGTCCAGCCTCCCATTCCCCAGTATGCCCTCACCCTGCCAGATGCCTACTTAGAAGGAGCGAGGACCCGCAGCTCTCAGTAGCCCAAAGCCATCAGCCACCAGTCTCGGCTACTGGCCGCATTCCCAGCTCTGTGGAAACAAAGAAATCAAGATGTGGCTAGAGACAGCAATTGCTGGGGCTCCTCCACTACCAAGGAAGCCAAGACGTCCTAAGAAAAGTCCTCTGGTGAGGCATCAGGGATGCTATTCCATGGGTCACACATGGGCAAGAGGATGCACTAACTGCACAAGAGAAACTGGTGTTGTCCAGGAAGAGCTTGGGATCTGTCGGCAGCCCAAGGGGACAAGGCAAGAAGAGAGCGATGAGATGAGGGTGATATGGTCTGAAACGGGGACAACCATGGAGACAATGACAATTATCATTTTTCTGGTGACTGGGTCAAAACGCCCGATGGAAGCACCCTGTGGAAGGAAGACCATGATGGGAACACCCGCTGAAACAGCTTCCCTGAGCTAATGGGAGCCCGCCAACTCTGGCTGGTCAGGGAAGGAACCAGCATAGGACCAAAGTAGGCCCTCAGAATGTGGGTGACAGTTGTATGGTTGGGACAGACCTCGAGACCACTGGCATTTGTTACTCAGCATTATTGGGGCCAGAACTGACAAATACACTCTTATTTTTTTTTTTTTTTTTGGTTTTTTTCAAGACATGGTTTCTCTATAGCTTTGGAGCCTGTCCTGGAACTAGCTCTTGTAGACCATGCTGGCCTCGAACTCGCAGAGATCCGCCTGCCTCTGCCTCATCAGGATTTATCCCTAGTGCTTGTGTTGACTTTTTGGAACTCATTCTCTTTGGAGGGATGCCGTGTTCAGTCTAGATATAGTAGGGAGGGCCTTGGTCCTTCCTCAAAGCAATGTGCCTTACCCTCTCTGAGGTGTGAATAGGGGGTAGTGGGGGGGATAAGAGCGAATGGGAGGAGGGAAGAGAGTGGGAACTGGGATTGGCAGGTAAAACAAAAAAAAGATAGCTTTTTAATAAAATAAAATAGAAAAAGTGTGAAGAAAGATAGAATGTAAAAGTCATTGAAAGTCACTCTCATCGATGAGAGGCATGAACAAGAGCCACCTGCTATAGGATACAGTTTGTCTTATGGTGTGTCCATGGTAAATGGTCCCTTTGCAGGCACGTATGACCCGTCTGCCCCAGCAGGGCCCTTTCCGGCACCTTATGGACATGAAGGCAGAGAAAAGATTGGCAGGCTGGAAGGAACGCCGCAGCCGCTTTGGTGACGTCAGCACGCACAAGTGTTATCAGTTTGGACAGGTCTTCTCCCCTTTCCAGGCTCTGGCCACCACGGTGAGTTTCCAACTAAGTCTTGGGGGTGGGGCACTAATGCCAGACCTCAGCTCTCTGTCCTTTTCAAGAGTGTATTTGTCAGCCAGGCAGGCGGTGGTGGCATGCACCTTTAATCTCAGCACTCGGGAGGCAGAGGCAGGTGTATCTCTGCGAGTTCAAGGCCAGCATGGTCTATAAGAGCTAGTTCCAGGACAGGCACCAAAGTTACAGAGAAACCCTGTCTCGAAAAAACCAAAATAATAATAATAATAATAGAGTGTATTTGTCAGTTCTGGCACCAATAATGCTGAGTAACAAAGAATTAAAGCTAAACTCCAAACTCGGTATCTTAGAACGGCAGGCATCTAATCTCCTGACTCATCTGTAGAAAAATAGACTCCCGCCTTTGCTTACAGAACAGGAAGGGATGAGTTGGGAATCATCTTCCCATGTGCTATTATACATGGTCTCTTTCCAGGGGAAGATTAGAGGCAGTGGCTCCAGCTTTGATGTTCAGAAACGAGAGGATATCCAGGGACCATGTAGACTGGGAAGAAGGTGCAATTATCATATAGTCCTATGGTCTGAAAACATTTGATTAAAATGTAGATCCCAGGGACTGAAGGAGATGATGTAATAGGCTGTGCAAGCATGAGGGCCTGAGCTCAAACTCCCAAGCATCTGTAGAAAAAGCTCAGCATGGCCCCATTCATGCCTGTGATTCTAGCACTGCGGGTGGGGTGGGGCAGAAACGGGAGGATCCCTGGGATGTAGTGGATGCCAGCCTAGCTATAGGTTCAGAAAGAGAGACCATATCTCAAGAGAATAAGGAAGAGTATGATAGAGCAGGTCATCTACCATCTTCTTCTGACCTCCATGTAACCATGGATGCACACACACAACACACACACACACACACATATACATATGCACGCATGATGGATCCCAGACTTTCATGATTTCAGTTATGCATTCTGAACATGTGGGAGCTTGTGATTGCCTTATTAAGTGATTCCATACCTATTGCCTTTGTATGTTATTGCTGAGTTGGCATACCCCAACCTTGTTCCTGCCGTGGCACACATCAAAAATTATGTACACCTTGGAAGGCACAATGGGCAAACTTAGGAGGCCACTAATGGGGTTAAACAACCAGAACCCAAACATAGAAGAGACAGGATATCAACTACAACTAGTCAGAGCCCACCAGGGTATGCTGGCAACAACAACACATGCTAATCTGAACATCAGAATCAGCCAGGCTCTCAGAAGTATTAGCATCCAAGTCTTTCTCAGAACAGCTAAAGAAGAAGCTTGGGGTTGGATCCCAGACATCACATCAACAGGTCTCGAAGCCCCGTGAATGAAGTGGCCGACTCATTCTGGTTTTCTCAAGAATGGCATACTTGCCCCCAACTTTTAGCATGTGAAGCCGTGAGCCTCGGAAAACCCATAGGCCCCTGTTCTACAAGCAAATATCTCAGCTCCCTGAGACCAGAGCAAACCAGATGGTTGTCACGTTAACCGCCAGTGACTCCCATGGGAAGCTGAACTTGAAAACTATTATTCTCCAAACTTTCTAGAAACTGGCCAGATTCTTCTTCTGTCCACTGGCCAATATTCTTCAGACACTGTGCTTCTGTCAGGACCCAAACCCGGGAATGAAATACAAACCCCCAACCCCAAGGAGCTTGTGTGCTTCCAGGGAAACATTGCCACCAACCAAAAGAATGTTTGCAGGTGCAATCGTGGTAAGTAGCTAATGAGAATAGGCATAAACTGGTTATTCAGAAGGAGCTAAGAGTCGTCCATATTAGCACTGATTTCTGCCAAATGTGCGTGTGCATGCACACACACACACACACACACACACACACACACACGGTCTTCCTGCAGAACAAGTCCCAAGAAGTGGGTGTGGTTGGGTTGCCTTCTCCGTGAGACGAGACTGTCTCCCATGTGCTAGAAGGCACAGTGCCCAGTTGTTGAGTTCTTAACACATGTCATGTTGTAATAGTGACCTTTCTGTTGTGTGATAAAACCCTTTGACTGAAAACAAATAAGGAAAGAAAGGGTTTATCTGGGCTTATGACTCCAGAGAAATAGAGCCCACAATAGCAGTGATACTTGGAGCATGATGGCATCAGGAAGATGGCTGATGATATTATTCCACAAACAGGAAGCAGAAAGAGAGAACAGGACGTGGAGCAAGGCCATAAGCCTTCAAAGCTAGCCCACAATGATGTATTTCCTCCAGCAAGGCCCCGCCTCCTAAAGGTCCACAACCTCCCCAAACAGCACCCCTCGGGGATGAGTTCTCAAATATATGAGCCCACAGGGGCCCTTTCTCACTCAAGCATCTCCTGGGTACAACACTGAAGACTTCACGAACACTTACTCCTCGTGCACTCTTCTAAATGATCACCATGCTCACTCTCCACGTGGTATCAAGAGCTAGAAAAAAACAGTTATTTATCTGTAACTGTTGGTACTCCAGAGCAAAGCCTGGGTTTGAACCTGGGGAGGTTCAGCAGGTTGCTCCCATTGGCAGCTTCCTTCAATGATGTCAACAGGTATTCTCAACCCCCATGATTCTCACCGTGATTCTGCTCTGCCTCGTAGGAGATGCGAAGGCTGGTGCTACCCCGAGACTTGCCCGTAAGATCTCGAATGCAGAGAATAAGCACCTCATCCCTCAGTGACATGAATCTCCAGGATTTACCCCTGTCTCCCACAGAGCTGAGCTTGGGAAAGGATGATAGCCACCACGAGAAAGAGAAACCAGTGAGCCACATGAAAACGCCTTTATTCCCCCCGATAGTTAAAGCAACAAAATATAACGACATGAAATAAAATTGTAAAACTGCCTTGTGATCCCTTGCTGCACGTTTGTACATGAAAGCAGGTAATATCCAGGCATAATAGTCAGCCTCACAGATGACAATGCTCAGATCGTCTAAGAGATGGCCGCATCGTGCCCTGTGTGAATTCTCTGGGGTAAGAAATGGCCATACCGTGCCCTGTATGGATGCTTTGGGGAGGGCTGAACCATTAGGAAGTGTCAAAGGCACAGCCAGACCCAGCGCCTCTTTCCTCAGAAGCCTGAAAACTTACAAACTTAGGGAAGGATAAGGCTGCAACCCCATGCACCAGGAGTCCTGCTCTTTTCGCAATTGCTCATTGGCTATCCCCAGGATATCAGAGGGTCATCAGTGTGGCTGATCACAGAGCATGCCAAATACAGAGCTAAGGCTACAGGGGGGGAGTGAGGAGAGAGAGCGGTGAGGAAGAGAGAGAGAGAGAGAGAGAGAGAGAGAGAGAGAGAGAGAGAGAAGGGAAATTCTGCCTGTGCCTCTCCTGGGTTCACAGATAGTTCCTCTTTGGCTGGAATGGGGTGGCTCATCTCTACCGCAACTTCAAAGGGAGCTAATAAAGGTCTTGTTGGGAGCATACTGAGAGAGAAGATCGAGTATCAAGAAAAGATACACGGCTGATGGGAAAGCAATTAAGATCTGGGTCACTTGGTGGTTTATAAGCCAGACCGTTACAAGGAGAAATGTCTACTTACGTGTGGGCATCGCCTGCGAAGTCTGCATCACCACCCTCCCGGTATGGACCATAACTCCATACCACCATGTGCTTGAGGCAAGGTCCCTAGAGGTTAAACACAAGACGTACACACACATAGAGAGTTTGGGTCATCCGCCAAGAGGTGAATGCCAAATTTTATTCAGTATATGTCAGGTTAAATACCCTTTCCCAGAGGAGAGAAGGAGCCCCTCCCAGCCAGGTGTGAGATCACGGTGTTGAGCACCTGGCGCCAAGTGGCAGGAGTTTCCAGGCAAGGGGTATCTAGCTGGGAACCCTGACAGACAGATAGGAGAACCCTCCTTAGCAGGTGAAATTACCATACCAAAAACGGAAACAAGGTTCTGAACTAATCCCCTCTGGCTGGCAGAATGGAGCAGAGGAAGCTAGGCTGGTTAGTGTAAACAGTTCTCGCATCCTGTGCTTGGCCTCCAGGAACAGGGAAGACAGGGCCTTATACTTAGGCTCAATGAAAAGAAGCATTTTTGTTTGTTTGTTTTTTGTTTTGTTTTGTTTTGTTTTTCAAGACAAGGCTTCTCTGTAGCTTTGAAGCCTGTCCTGGAACTAGCTTTTGTAGACCAGACTGGCCTCGACCTCGAGATCTGCCTGCCTCTGTCTCCCGAGTGCTGGGATTATGTAGCTGCTCCCCCAAATGGACTCTTCCACCCTAAACAGCTTCCATTTTCTTTGGATGTTTAAAAACAATATATACTCATAATAAAAACTGTTCAAAAGTATTTTTAAAAATAATTACCGCAGATCTCAGTATTTGAAGACAATATGTGTTTGCATCTGGAACTTTTGGATCATCTGTCAATGCCTTACCCTCACTGACTATGGCTGTACTTGGGTCAAGGTCTGTTTCCAGTGGTTGGTATTAAGTTGTCTCATGGCACCACTGCCCAACATCTCTCAAAGGGTCAACTGCTTCCGGGTCATCAGTTTCACTTCCAGGTCATCAATAAAACTACTAGACCATATGGACGCATAATACATATCTCAATTAGATTAGAGATAGTTTATTCTAGAACCCAAAATGAGTAACCATAGCCAAGAAACACAGACTCGGGTTACTCCAAATCCCATACTCCTATCGGTAACAATGTAATGAAGTTTTAATTGTAACAAAACAAAGAAAATCATAAGACAAGACTTTTTCAAATACCTTTTTGGGGAGATCAGGTAGGCAGCTTAAAGCACAAAGGGGAGTTCTCTGCTGTAGGCCTCAGATCCTATTGTCAGTCTCAGTTGGGTGAAGCTTAGGGTCTGTTATTCTATCCCAACACGCTTAATTTTCCAGTCACACAGATGTGAGGTCAGAGAGGTGGGAAAGGAATTGCTATCAAAGGACTAAAGATAGTCCAAGATGATTATATTTAGGCTCTAGACCGGCAACATCCCAACCTCTCCATATCACTGAAGTTCTGATCGGCTAATGAGACATCCCAACCCCTCCATATTGCTGAAGTTCTGATCAGCTAATGAGACATCCCAACCCCTCCATATTGCTGAAGTTCTGATCAACTAATGAGACATCCCAACCCCTCCATATTGCTGAAGTTCTGGATCAGCGAATGAGCCTTGCAGAAGTGTCTGTGGAATGTGTGGTTCTTAAAGAGGCCTTGGAGTGGGCACAGAACACATCCAGACATCAAATTCTCAGCACAAAGGTTTTATTACCCAGGAGGGATGGGGTCAGGGCTGCCTTAGGAGCAAAGACTGCAGCAGGTATTTCTGCAGGAGAGGGTTTCTAAGGAGAAAGGGAAAGTCTGTTAGGAGGAGTTAGGAGGAGGAGGAAGAGGAAGAAAAAGAAAAGGAGGAGAAAAGAAGGAGGAGAGGGAGGAGGAAAAGAGGAGGAGAGAAAAGCATACCACAAAACTATTCCTCTCTCTTTCCTCAGTCAACCTTTTCCAGAGATTCATGGACCCTTTCATCTGTAAAAGACACACACACACACACACACACACACACACACACACCACTATGATGTTGGTTTCTGAACTACATGAGGTAGAGGACATCAGTTTCCCTTCTTTTCGTCCCCTCCCCCACCCCCGCCAATGAAGTAAGCAGTTCCTTTGAAGCTCTGTGAATTCATTTGTCTTCTTGCTTCTCTTCTTCCAAGCATCAACAGGCACATATTGTGTGTGTGTGTGTGTGTGTGTGTGTGTGTGTGTGTGTGTGTGTGT